GCGCCGCCCGCCCGCCCGCCCGCGCGGCGCGCAGCGTTAGCGAAACGGAGCGGGTGGTCCGGGCCCGGGGCAGTCCGCCGCGCCGGACTCGATTGCAATCGCCGCGGCTATTCAGGCTGACCCGGCACAGGCGGCAGCATTCGCTCGCCGGCGGACGCCATGATGCTCTGTGCTCCTTCATCTGCTATCCTTGCCTGCTGATCGCACCCCTCATGCACTACCGATTCTCTGCCCCGTCATTTTGCGGCAATAGCTTGTCAGATCAGTTTTCGGTTGACAGTTCGACCAGAGAGGGTGGGAAGATCGCGTGGGGTCTGAAGAATTTCAAGCGCACGGGATCTCTAGATTCGGAATTTTGGTGGTGGTTTCTCTGATCAACTCATAGAGAGAATGCCGGAAGTCCCCTACAAACGGGCACAAGGGAGTCGCGCGATCTCCCTTACCTCTTCGCTTGTGCTAGACTCTCATAACTCCTTATTCCATTCAATGAAAGCATGCATACACTAGCAACGCTGCAAAGTGGCTGGGAGTTGATGTGAAGAGCTTGTTCGGTCTGGTGGTGTCTGTTGGTGGGAGTATAGTGGGTAGGTAACTCCTTGGCTGGACTCCATCATTAGCAGAAGGATCCATGCCAGATGGGAAAATGCACTTCAATTACGGTAATCTATGAACAGTTTGCGTCCGGTAATCAGCTAACACTCCAAACATCAGCTCGCCCATTCTCATCTGACTTATCGTTGTTCCTCTGATCGGGGCACAATCCTCAATACACTAGAACCGCATGGCATCCGATATGCAATGATCTGTCCTGACACCGACTGTCAGAGACGTCACGCTCGCTCTTAGTCGACTTCCATCACAAGTCGCATAATCGGCCAAGCCGCACCCGGGCAAGGGCGGGCTCCTCAACGGCTCCGTTTTTTGCAGCGACGTGCTGTTAGCCAGGGTGCGCCCATATTCGGCCGCGCAGCGTCTTCGGGCACCGCGGCGCTAAAAAATGAGGGCACAATTCCGAGCAGTGAGGGCATTGTCTTCCGCGCTGTTCGTCGCATTTGTACAAGGTTTCGATTTTTATGGGCGCGATGTAGGAAAGCGGGAGAGCTGTAGCGTGTGGAAGGTTTTTTTCCTCTGGCGGGCTGGAGAACGCTACGCATGCCGCATAATTAACTGGGAACGTTAAAAAAATGTTTTCGGACGATAATAAATGTAGATTTTTGTAATTGAGTAGTAAGTAAATACACTTACTTGGATTAATCAACGCGGCAGCACATTCTTAATTCCTATATTTTACAGCATAAATTAATTATTGCTCTTCAGGCTCCAATGAGTACCCTTTTTCTGACTGAAGATGAATAGTTGGCGCAAAATGTGGTGGAGATTTTGTCTGTGGATGTTTTCAGACCCACTTTTTGAGAACGGGCTGCTGGGAGTAGATTTGATATTGAAGAAACGAAGGTGTTTAGGCTAGTAGAAGTTCTTTACTTAACGGATTGAGTCTCGCGAGAACAATCTGTGTTTGGATCGTGAAGTTTGATTGTAGAGACCATCGCGGGGTGTTACCCAACTAAGGTGGGGGCGGGTGTGTATACTATTGTTGATTGTTATTTTATAACGGTTTTTAACCTGGACTTTATATTTTCAATTTTTATTGTGTTTTACTTTAAGGGGACACATAACATATATGTTCGAGGTTTCGCTAGCATTCTGAATTAAAACTCTCGATTTGAATTTATATCGGAAGCTTTGTTAGCGATATTAACGATGAGCAGAGGAGATAGTAGGGCTTGAAAGTCGGCGAGCCGGGGTTGGGTCGAGTGTGCAAATTATACGTGTTCGGCGGCAGAAGCTGCGGGTGCTGGGGGGGGGAGGGAAAAAAAAAAAGGGGTGGAATAGCGGCGAATAGAGCTTCCGACTCGTCGCGGCTGGGTCAACGATTTGAACCGCTCGGTTGGCTACAGCGCGCGACGCCGGGTTTTCTCGCCGGCGAGGAGACGAGCTTTTGTGCATATCATTTTATGCGGTATACGAGGATCTCCTTACGGCACGGCGGCAATGCTAACCACCTGCGTGAGGCCGGTCAGTTAGGCACTTCCGGGGCGGCGGGATGGGGGACAGAACCGATGCGCGCAGCGTCGCGGGGCGGATGCCGGCTCGGCGTTTGGCGGCGCCACGCCAACTTTATTTTAGCGCCCGCAGCCTCCGCGCGGCGCGCGTGCCTGTGCGTGCAAGCGCCTTGCGCCGGATCAATAGATCGACTCGACCGGATCTGCCCGAGCGGCACGCCAGGGCCCAGCGCCGCAGTAGCAGCGCCGCAGAGCGAGGTGCCTGTACTGCGGAGAGACAGAGAGAGGGGGCGGAGGCTGTGCGATGGCGGTGACGTCGCGATACTCGGGTGGGAGAGG